AAAATATATTAACTAAATATAATATAAAATAATACAAATAAAATAAAGGCATGTAAAATAAAGTAAAATAAAGTAAAAAAAGGAAATATAGATATACATATCTATAAATAAAATAAAATTATATAAACTAAGATAAGATAAATTAAAACGAAATTAAATAAAAAATATTTGAAATAAAATAATATTAAATAGAAGCAAAATGTAACAAAGTAAAGTAAAATTAAATAATTTAAAGGAAAATAAAATAAATTAAAAAAATAAATTATAAAAATGTATATATAGAAATATAATATAATTAAATAAAATAAAATGGAGTTAAAAAATCAGTTAAAATAAGAAAAATTAAATTAATACAAAATCAAATAAAATAAGATGAAATTAAATAAAAAAAAACAAAAATGTAACAAAAAACATGTAAAAATTAATAATACAAAGCAAAATAAAATTACATAAAAAATAAGTAATTTATAAATATATATATATATATATAAAATAAAATAAGATATAACAAATATAATTATTATAAATTAAATAAAAAAATTAAACATATAAAATAAAATACATTAAAATTAAAAAAAAGTCTTTGTTTCACTTTTTTTTTAATTTTAATTTATTTCATAAAGTATGATTAAATAACATGAAGCAAAATATAATGACTTAAAAAAATATAATTAAATTAAGTAAAACAAAATATAATAAAATAAAAGAGAATAATGAAATTAAATAAGATATTATAAACTAAAACAAAAAAATTAAATTAAATTAGGTATGATGAAAAACATAAAATGAAATGGAATAAAAAAATATAAAACAACAAAATTAAAATAAAACAAAATAGTCCTAAACAAAATTAAATTAAGTTAAATAACATGAAGTGAAATAAAATCAAATCAACTAAAATAAAATATAATAAAAGAAAAGAAAATAAAATGCAATAAAATAAAAAAATCTACTTAGAATAAAACAAAACATAATAAAATGATTTAAAATAAAACAAAACTAAATATAATATTATAAATGAATGTAAAAATATAAAATTTGAAATAAACTTAAATTAAATAGGATTTCAGAAAATGAAATGAAAAAAATAAAATATTTTGCAAAATGCATTAAAAATAATAAATGTTGTATTTTAGAATCAATCAAAACAAATTAAACAAATAAAAAAGAAAAATTAAAAAATTCCACATAAAAACAAAAGGAAGTAAAATGAATTAAGATAAAATTACCAAAAATAAAATAAATAAAAGTAAAAAAAAAATTAAAAATATAAAATAAAACTAAATTAAATTAAAAAAAATTAATTAATATGATGTGAAATAATGAAAAGTAAAAAATATAATATTAATATAATATTGCATTTAACAGTAAAAAAAAAAAAATAAAACAAAAAATTTAAATTAAATTAAATTAAAAATTACACAAAATGGTAATCAAATTAATCAAAGTTCATTAACATAAAGTAAAGTAAATTAATGTCGGTTAATAACAAGAAGAGAAGCAAAACGGTTAATATATGTAGTGTAACTAAAATCCATTTTTTCAATGCTGCTAAATAATTCAAAACTACTTGAATAGGGATTATAAAACGCAACAATTTTGGAAAACGCTTATTTGATATGAGCTCTCATGATTTATAACAACTAAGTATTTAAAATAAAAACTTATTTCTGTAAATAAACAAATTTTATGTATTTCTCTATTGTTTGTAAAATATAAACTAGCATTAATAAGTTAAAAAATGTAAAAACTTGTCCACATTTTTACTGTAAATCAAAAACAAATGTCATTAAAAATACAACCAAATTTAATTGCACTTAAGTCATTTATAAAATAAAATAATTCATAAATTAAATAATTGTCCTGCCATGTTAAGTAAAATACCGCACCGCACCTATATACATAAAAGCAACTTCAAATATTGCACGGATATTATAAATATACAAATATATATATATACGTACTCTTAAAGAAAGATCTACGCGTATACATTATTTATTAGATAAGTGAAATTTATGATTACCAAAAAAGTGAAAAAAAAAAACGAAAAACGAAAAACAAATGAAATGATATTGTAGTTGTACGAACTTCTTATTCCGTAAGTAGTTGTTAGACTTTCTTTTAAAGATTTTAGATTTAGTGAAAATTGTGAAATAAAATTATGATTGTATTGCAAGCATACGCATACTAAGCATACACACAGACAAAGACTAAGGATATTCAATTGAGATTTATGCAAATCGGAATACGAAATGAGTTATATAAATACATGCATACACACAAAGACAAAGAAAGTGAATTAAAAGGAATTATTAAAGAGGAATTATAAAAAAGTAACGAATAAAATAAATAAAATATAAATGAAAATATATATGTATGCAGTTTTATTTATACGCTAAGGCAACAGAGTAAGTAGCAAATAATTTTGTATAACCTTCAACTGTGGTCATACATGGGAATATCAAACTGATGTACAATACAATAAAGTCGTGAAAGTCATCCCAACACAATTTTATAGTCAATCGTACTTAAGCCAAGAGCTTTATGTATTGATTTCATGACCCCCACTCAGTGTGACTTATTATTCGGGTATTATTATTTAAGGTTAAACAGCGCCCAGCGATCTTCTTCTTATTGTTTGCTCTTTAAGCAATCGGCTTAAAGGTCTAGTGAAACAATTTCGGATTACGGTAAGAGTGTAATTTGCTGAAACTGTAATGGGTCTACTAGCTAACGCGGGTTTCTAAATCCCGGTGAACGGAGTTGTTGTTTGTAAAAGAGCAACGCTTTTATGACGTTTTAAAATATCTATAGATAGATCCTCACTTTTAAGCCCATTTGCTTATTTTGTCTAGCTTACAGTCTCAAAGGCAGAGGGCTTGTCACTGATCCAAATCTTCAAAGACAAGTCTTACAACCTCAAGTACATTTACCTTACACTACGAAAAATGGTTTTCATTCTACAAAAATGTAAAGTTACTGCTCGGACTCTTCGATATTTGTTTCTATTTACAACGGTGCATTCCAAAAAAAGTTACCTTTCCCGTAAAAAAAATTGTAGGGCAACCTCAACTGCACCTAGTGTATGCTCTGATGAAGGTACTTCTTGTTTAAAGCGGGGACTATTTGTTTCGCCTCAAAGTCAGTCTTTGATAAATAGTGAGGGGATCATCTCCTGTGGATAATATAGGTTGCAGTTATGATCAAAAATTCACTTGTTTCCACAATATAATATATATATGAATATTTTTTTATTACACAAAAATCCTATAGGTATGCAGTTAATATACTCCGAACCCACTAAGCCGCAGGAGAATCTCACTGAAACTCCTAGAGGCAAACAAATTCCGGCAATGGAAGAGAACGCAAGTTCAATTTGAAAATCAATATGTTGGTAGGTTTTTGTTCAGATAAACATACATATAAAATATTTTTTTTTTCGGAGAAGGGGATCACACATTAACAGGTCATAATAACATGACATGGTTGAAGGAACCTATGTATGTATGTGTATGTATGGACTAACTTATATACGAGGATTTTGTTATATTTCGGGATAAGAGAACAAGAACAAAAAGTAATCATGGAAAATGGTTAGAGTAAACGTGATGCGAAACCAATGGTTACACGAATTACCGACTTCATTGGGCGACAATGTCGACCAAATATTAGGGCGGTGCGATTTGGGTATTAAAAAAATAATAATAGCAAATACTATTCCGGAAAAAATCTTTTTAATTATGAAATGGTAAACCAAACTGAGTATAAATCAAGAACCCACTCTGAAAGAAGCATTGCCTCATGGAAACCCACACATATAATTAAATTCAATATAATAGAATGGAAAGTAATCATAGACATGTAAATAGCAAGAATACAAAACCAAATAGCCCACATATTTCTTTTGCGTAATAATGCGATAGATTCGGAAAGACAAAAACGAAGTTCATTCAATATATTTTGTTGATGTAAAAGAAAGTTTGTAATGTCAAACCCTAATTTTCACGTATTTTCTTTGTGTAATTTGTTGAAATTGCAAGAAGAACAAACAATTATATGATGTGACTTTAACTTCACCTTCCATAAATTTGCCTTGGCCAAGTAGTTAATTAATCATTTTGGATGAGTTTAAAATAATAAAAGAAAGTCGGTTGTGCTTAATTTGAGCCCGAAATTCCTATTATTACTACATACAAGTTTCAGTTCTAATCGGGTTTATTATACTCGGATAGATAAAACTCGCAAAGCATAAACTCGTCTTCACCACGAGTAGATTATAAACATTTTCTCTACATATATAGAAGCGTTAACTCGCTAGCATAAACGCAGGTTGAGTTAAAATCAGCTGATTTACTTTTAACCTGATTGATACAGAGGTGCCGTGTTGCTAACTTTTTGCCAAAAATATAATTGGCTTGGCGAATAGACCCGCGTAGAATAAACCCGCGTAGTTGTGCTAAGGGGTTGACATCGTAATGAAGAGCCTATTGTCGGAATGGAAGAGCTTTGGAAAGATAAGACCAACATGGTACGGGGCGTCAGCAGTTCAAAGTCGTAAAATTATTAAGAAGTGCTTGTCCAAGATCGGAGAAACCTATGAAATGCTGTGGTTTTTCAACGATTTTTTAGAAATAAAGAGCCAAAAGAGCTTACCAGAACTGCACTTGGAATTTGAAAACCATTGGCGCAACCGTATTGTATCCGAGCACAACTTTTGTGAAGGGGACCGAATGTGTGAATATTTTTTTAGTAAAATTTGGTACACATTTTTCAACACGCCTTCATATCCACCAGTTCCGGTATGGATCGTAGAAGCAGGACAAAATTTTAATTCGGTGAATATGGCAGTGCTTCAACGACACCTCTGTATATATGTAAATGATTTAGAAATTTAATAGTCCTAAGAAAAACGACCAAACTTTAGAATATGGCAACTTTTTCCCATCATTCTTTTATTCATCCAATTAAAAAAAAAAAAAGAATTTTCTTTTCAGTTTCATAACAGTTCGTAGAAAAATGTCAACCAAAATTTTTCAAAAATAAAAAAATTCGCTTTTTAAACCAAAATTTCACAGAAACAAAATCAAAAATAAATTTTCTTTCGAATACAAACAAAGCAACGTAACAATCAAGCCCACAAGCTCATTGGATGCCGGATGGCCGATTTCGGCCAAAGAAGATCCATCGCCTCAAAATCAGCGCAAGCCCAACAATAAGAACACCAAAAGCAAAAACAGCATGACCAAAGGCATTTTCGCCAAATTTCGCCGAACGCTGAGTATTTGCTTCAATTTCATTTTAGCTTGTTGCTTCGAAGTACTACCGTTATTTGCAATAACAACAACGCAATATGTAGAATATGCCGAAGCGAAAGCAAACGCACAAGCAGCAATGGGGCGTGGGTGCGGGCGTAGCTGTAGTAGGAACAGTAGTAAAAGCAAAAATTGCAAAAACAACAACAACAGCGGCAATAGAAGTTGCTGCAAAGAACACAATAGCCACAACATGAAGATAAACAATCCTAACAAAGCCAAGCGCGGCAGTATCGGCTGCATTGAAAACCTTACAAAAACAAATAATGAAGTCCACTCCACCACGGCGGCATACAAGCGACGGCTGAGCGAGCCAAAAAATCAAGAGCCTCCACCGCAGCAGGTAAGTGGGTCGGAGAGATACTCCTATATTCCTATGTACAAATGTATGTATGTGTGCAGATGAACAGGTGGCGAGTTGAATTTTTTCGGCGATTTTTTTTACAATTTTTTTGTTAACAAATTTTAATTAACAAACGCATACAGTAGTGTTTGTTGTAACAACAGCAACAACAGCTTGCATGTATTAACAATGATTTCATATACAAAGAAATGTACTGATCGAATTTAAACATATTTTCATTGGTTTACTACAACGATGAGCTTTTTACGCTGAGAGCAACGAGTGAGCGAGCTGTGCGCCGGAGGAAGAGGATGAAGATGCGTGCGCAAATATGAATGTGTTTGGTTGCACATTTAATTGACCGCGAAGTATTTACTTTAATTCAACTGTTTTTTTTTATTAGGTTGTCAGTGGTTGAGTCCTTTATTGGGGTAAAAAATTTAATTTTGGTGCTGTGGAGTGCCCGGTGCAACGCTGCCCCTGCCAGGTGATGTGAAACGTTGAAAAAATTGAGAATGTATCCAACAAGGATTATTATCTTAAAATTCAATTACCAAACTCGTATTAAAAATAGTAAAAAATATTCATGACTCTTCCTGCTGGCTCTCTATAGCGTTAGCGCAGAACCACTAAAATTGCCATGATAAGCCCGCAAATAAAGCGTAAGCACATGTTAAAAAAAAACAGAACTGGCGCCCTCAAAAATCATGGAGCCTTCCTGATAGGTATGTGTTTTTTGAGGAATAATCGATACTTATAGGACACTAAAATGCCCCAAAAAAGTCATTGTGCAAAAGACAGCACAAATTGCGAGAGTTTCTAACAGTAATTGTTCTGATAGTAACTAGACCTGATTACTTTATATCTTTTCAGTAGCCTACAAACATCCTTCTGGCATAATGCGTCAATTGGAGGCACGAACTGAAGACAGATCCCTCTTCATCTGATCTTTCAAGCAGAGTGGTAGTTTTCTTCTGCCTCCGCTTCCACCTGCTGATGTGGCATTGAAAGCTTTTAAAGATCAAACGAAGATACAGATCTACCCATTGTAACCGATGTCTCTCAATTTGCAGAGCTATATCAATGCGGTTATATAGCTCATATTTCCATTGTCTGCGATACTCGCCGTTGCCATAGGAAGATCCATAAATCGTTCAGAGAGTTGTTCTCTCTCAAATTTTTACTTTTCGGAAACATGCATCAGAGCGTGAATAATGAGCGCCTTGTAGAGTTTAGTCCAGAGTAAAAATATCAATTCTGTGACGGATTTCAAGGTAGGAATGTAATAGAACGTAGCTCGGATTTTCCATGCTGTTTCAGTTGCATTTGTCAGACTTTGGGTCCTCATCGCACACCCTGGAAACGTGGGCTACACCTGGGCGAGATACGTTAATCAACCCGTGTGCAGCCTTTTTACCAACTAAATTTCGTTCAAATAACTCAGAAACTAAGAGACTAGTTTGCATTTATATAAACGTTCCATGGTGAGGGAGAGCACTTCGTTTGGGTGATCCAGTTGAGAGTGGCTTATATTGGACGTACTCCAATTGAAAAAGTTCGCTTTTTACCGCTTTTGTCTGCCTACGCTACGAAATTTGACGGTACCGTTAAAACTTTTAATCAACTCCCGCATTATCCTTGTCACCACTGTAAAATTTCTCTTTTTAGTCCCAATTTATAGGCGCGGTATAATTGTTATTACCGGTAGTGTCATTAAACGTTTACTGTTAGTCACTTCACGGCACATCTCTCCGTCATTTGTCGCTTTTACGCACCTTAATCACCTTGACGGTGTTGCCCATGTACCAGCTGCTGAGAAATAAAAACAATTTAATGATAAACATCAAATTTCCACAAATGGCCTTATATTTTAAGTGAAATGGTTAAATAGGTTGCGAAGTCATTTGGAGGAAAAGAGACGTGGTAATGGAGACACTTAAATAAGAGCGATGCTTTTTCCACGGCTCAGAAGTTTCACTGCGAAAAAATTTAAAAAACACCAACAAAATTAGCAACACCTCTCATACCGCAAAATAGTCGAAACAGTCGAAATCTTCCAAAAAATCTACAGAACACGCGCCACTTCGCAGCACCGTGCCTTTCGGTGCCCCTATAAGTATGCAATGTAGCTGCAAAACTGCTGATTCAAGGACCTTAAAGTGGAGTTTCGAGTTGCTTTGCTAATATTGTATTATATTATATATACGCACACACTCCTATGCGTAGACGAATTTTCATAAATTTCCTTTAACTTTCCACATCACTTATATACAACAACTGCAGACCATAAAAAGCAACAACAATAGTGTGGAAAACCACAAAATTTCTATGAAGGAAAAAAAAATTGCAAGTTTTTGTGTATGGAAAAGTAGTGTGAGTATAAAGTGAACAAAAATGAAGGAAGAGGGGGGAAAGGGCAGAGAGTTGCTGGATTCTTATTTCTGTTATTTTTTCTTTCACTTCGCCAGAAGTAGCCACAAAATCCTTCATGGCTGGCATATAAGGCTCTTGGCGTAATGCGTTAATGTGATTGTGTTAGATAGGCGCGTTTACCGTTAGTCTTAAAAAAGCTTACGGCAATTGTTAAAGTAATTCTGCTAATCTTCCTACAATGTTTCCTCGTGCTCGTATTTGTTTTGCATAAAATTGAAATTTTTTAATTTTCACTTTTCAATGCGAGGATTTAAAGAATGATAAAGCTGAGCACTTGCCGAGTTAGCAGAGAAATTTTTCGGCTACGCAGAAGTCAGCGCCTTCTTCTTGTTGCTTTTCCCTTCAACTTTTCTAATCTCACCAGCACTTCTTCCGACATCGTCAATTATCTCTCTAAGGGAGACACATAGACATATGTTGATGAGTACACTCAGAGGGCAGGAGCGGAAGTCTCTTCTATCTCACTAAGCCTCCACACAATCGCATATCGCTCAAAATTCACATGGAACTCTTTCCTCTCTCCTTTCGTTAACGGTCAAAGTTCTATATTTGCTTTCGATTGATTTCTCGATGTGGTTGATTTTGTGACGAGTTTACTTTATTTGTTATCAAGTCTTTTTCGTTTTTACTGGTAACACTGAAAAAGCAAATGTCAAGTTATTCAGCAAGAAATTTTACTTTTCACTTTCCTACTCAGTCCAAAGTAGCACCTGTTGGCAAGAGTGATTATTCGCTGGATTTCAAAACTGACTAGATAAAGGAAATTATCAACAACCTCAAAGTTAGGACTGTCAAAAGCGGAGCGGGTGCCAATTTACGAATGCGATGGCTGTGTGTTTGATGACAGGTCCTCGTTTTCAACCAGACCCGTATCCATCGCTGCCTTATCCAGTCTGCGGAAGGCAGAACTCAAGGCACGGTTGTTGAGGCAGGTAATGTCAATAACGTTTGGCGTATGCCAGCAGATGTACACTCTTATAGAAGATTGTACCTCTTCTATTCAGCTCCACACCTCTTGTAATTTTCTCCAGCATAAAGTTAAAGGAGTCATGACGGACTTTTAGTGCTGCTTAACGTCAGTTTACATAGCCGTATAAGTTTTGCGGAGATACCAAATTCATACGTAGCGGCGTATTGGCAACTCTCATTAATGCTGTCAAATGCGGCTTTAAAATCGAAATCGCCAAATTTGAATAGCTCGGCCGGTAATACAATGGTATTCGCGTTTTGTTGTTTTTTAAGAGGGCGAAATCGCGTTCACGATTCCCTGGTGTTTCATTGTCGCTGACATTCAGCAAGGTGAAGAAGTATTCCCTCAATAAATTCAATATACGTGAGCATCCGTTACTAGATCACATCTCAGTGTCCTACAAGCGTCTGCTCCGGGCTTGAAACTTTCGGCAAGTCGCCATTTTTTTCGTAAAATTTTCGAGTATTATCTTTTTCGGCCAGATTTACAACTCTTCATATTCACGCATATCGGCCTATTCCTTTTTTAGTCTGCATGTGCGTCTTGCTTCCCTCTTCGAATCTCGGTATCTATCCCATCCCGCACGTGTTGTGGTCGATTGCAAGGTTGCGAGGTAGGAAGTCTGTTTTCTCTCCTCGGCGACACGGCAGTCCTCAGAGAAAGAAAAAATAGTAAAGCGGATAGCACGATTAACCCGAAGGGTTGACTCAAGGGAAAACGTAATAAATCTACGTGAAGGCAAAGTGACCCAAAGAAGTTTTAAATACCACTACAAATTGCTAGCCGGGTTTGATATACCCAAATACGAGAGAAATATTCATATTCTTGGAAATACATCCGCTCCAAGTCTTCGACTGTGCATATTAAGGCAACGGCATCCGAAAACATAAAGACCGAAGCCGATTGATTATCTGCCTTAATGCAACAACCACTCTATTGGCGCTTATGAGATTATGTACGAATCAACAATAGCATGCTAGTTCGTTCTTTTTGTTAGCCACTCGGCGCGAAACCAAGTCCTTCTACTATTGATCTTTCAAACAGCTTGAAGGTTCTCCTCGTTCTCTATTTCCAGCAGCTGATACGGCCTGGAATTATTTCAAAACTGGTGTACAACTTGTTGCTTCATCATCTATGGCACTCGCCCGAACGGCTCGAAGAGGTTCCGATGTTAACGGAGCTTTTGCCGACTCTCAGCCTACAAAGTCTAACTAGTCTTTAATATTGCGAAACGTTTGTCGGTCGGGTGAACGATAGTACCTCGTCCTTGGTCAACGGCACCTTCACAACTAAGAAACGTTTTATTCCACGTTATTTTAATTGGAGCAGTTTTTGGGTGTCAGGTCTCAAACCCAGCGCATAATCTCTTGGATGGTGAGGAAATGAAGGCTTCTCAAACTCTGATCCGAAGTATGTAAGTAACAGAAGGATGACGAGCTGAGCTGATTTATCCATGCCCGGCTATCCATCTGTTTGCCTGTCTGTCTGTTTGTACACAAACTAGCTCTTTCACAGTTTTTCACATTTTTCAACTAAACTTAAAGATCTTGCTTTTTACATTCTTTTTTAATTTTATCAAACACATAGAAATTCCAAA